CACCGTGCCCCCTGTTCCCCGCCCGGCCCCGCGCCCAGCCCGGCCCGGCACTGCGACCCCGGCCAAAGAGGCCCCGGCCGAGCCCTCCCTCCCTCCCGATTTTCCCGGACATACCCGGCTTTTGGGGATTTCCCCCCCGGACGGGGATTTGAGCCCCCAAAAGCCGGACATGTCCGGGAAAATCCGGACATATGGTAACCCTACTCAATATTTGATGGTTTTATTAACACTCCCCACCCCCCACCCCATACTGTCTGGCTCATGACTGTGAGTGCCACTGTCTACGTCAGGGCAGACTGTCAAAACAGGGCAGAGACCCCAGACTGGGGGGTGTTTTATAATTAGATTTTACCAAGCCAGTAACAAATGTGAACTCCTGGGTCACTATAACACTTAACCATGGAGTCAAAGACAGTCCCCTTAGACTCTCCAGTCTATCTTGCCACCCAGACAAACTGGACTGAGTGATAAATGGTCACTTACACAAAACACATAATAAGTAATTTGCTCCCAGTCTCAAGAGGCCAGTCACTTACCCCCAGATCATTTGGTACCCTAGATCTTACACCAAAGACACCACCTATAGCCAATCCTGTAATAAACTATCTAAAGGTTTATTTATTAACTAAGAAAAATAAATGTTATTTAGAGATTAAAGTAAGCAAACATATACACATGTAGGAGCCCCACCTTCTTCCCCTGAGGCCCCACTCTTCCCCCCAACACCCCACCCCCTGGCCAGGCCGCAAGCCGGAACTAGGCCATGGTAAGAGCTGCCCAGGGGAGCCCAGGTCCCTGTGGAGAGCCAGAGTCCCTCCATCCGTCCTGGGCACCGGGCAATGATGCCCAAGAACATCCCCTGTTTCCGCCTCCTGCGGTAGGGAATGATTCCTGTTCATGAATTCATAAGTTCAGAGCAAATATTTTCAAAGTTATGAAGCAAAACTTACATATTTTCTTATATCATGGAATACCAACATTACAAGTGAGATTAATGCATGCAGCAATTTACAAGCATTCCACAGAGTCTAAACACTAAACACATTCTTATAAGACTAATACCTATTTTGAGCAAAACTAACATACACGTGACCTGGTCTGGTCCCCAGCTATGAGGTTGTCAGTTCTTAGCTAATGCCTGGGTAAGAGCTGGCATCTGGCTTGCCAGAATTACACCAAGCTGGAAGCGTGTGATTAGGTGAGAATATCACCTTCTAAACAAAAACAGCCAATTTCTAGTCCTCATGGTTGTGGAGAAAAGCTTGAAAATGTGACCATGCACCATAAAGCTTAAAAAACCAGAAACCAAATAAAAAGAACCCCAATTTTTTTTAAATAAAATCTCATTATTTTTGGAGGTGCCCAACTTGTGATTTTTGAACACTTGGGGTTGGCAATGAGGCATAGGTACATGTGAGAAGTAAGACGTTTGCTTACTTTTCAGCATTAACAGTTTAATCCCACTGGTATCTTGCTGTCCCCATTTGTATCCATCTGTGGTCCCTTGTTTTACACTTAGATCATCCAGGCAAGGGATGCCTTGTGTTTGTACAGTGCCTAGCATGGAGGGGTATTATGCCAGTTTGCTTCCATGCTAGAAATGATTGCAGTTCAGTGTTATTGTATACATATGATTTGTAGTTTGCAGTGTGGTTGTGTAGCCGTTGGTCCCAGGATATTAGAGAGACAAGGTGGGTGAGGTAATATCTTTTATTAGACCAACTTCTGTTGATGAAAACCCCAATGGAATCAAATCTCATGTGCATGGTGTGCACACTAAGTGGAATCTATGTGGACAGGACAACACATCTTGAAGAAACAGCTACTTTGCATGACTTTGAGTAACAATTCTTTCATCTACTAGCACAGTCAACTCCGCCCTTCATCCTTCCAAGATGGATAAACTTTGCTTAAGTTCCACTGCAACCCATGGGGCTACTCACACGCATATTTATGATTCCAAAATGCTATACTGAGCTGGCCATTTGTGAGGAACCTGAGGGCGCCAATTAGTTGCATTGCATGCATTCTAATCTCATGTTGCTATTGGCAATAAACACAAACACACACACACACACACAGGGTATTTCCTTGCAGCTGTATTTTATCTGAGAGGTGAAACCGCCAGTGCTGGTTTGCTGAGTTTATGGGCAATAGAAAAGTGCAACTGGTCTGCTCTGCACACACAAAGGAGAGGAAAGCCAGACTCTGCATTGCAGCCTTTCCTCTGCCCCTTCGCCCACTCCCCTCCTCTCTCCCTCCATCCCTCCACTCTATCTCCTTCCCTCTCCTGCTCTGTGTCACTCCATCTACGCCCCGCCCCGCCCCCCGCATCATTCCGTCCGCCTTTCTCTCGCCCCGCCCCCGACCACCTGACCCTGCAGTTCTCGCGCGATCTGGGGCTGCGACCCAGGAAGTGTTTGTTTCTGGTGCCGCACGTGGGTGCCAGCCCGACCGGCGGCCCCTTTCCCGTCTCGGGCAGGGTCCCTGCTCCTGGCGCTGCCCGCCCGCCCCCGCCATGGGCAAAGCTCGCAAGAGGCACAACTGGAAGGCGCGGCTGCCGGGGAGCCCCGGGGGGCTGCAGCCGCCCGCCCCAGAGCCTGTGCAGCTGGAGCTGGGAGGTGAGTCCGGCGCAGTATGACCGCCCCGGGGGGAGAGGGGTCGGAATGGGCGCCCCCACTGCACACTCAGCCCCTCCCGAATAGGTAACTCCTTTGCACACTCACCCTTTCCTGAGTGGGTGTCCCTTGCACGCTCACACCCGCTTGTACGCTCACTCTCCTTCCTGAATGGGTGACCCCTTTGCACACTAAAAGTTACTCCTGCTGAGCCCTAATGTCTCTTCTTTTTTTTTTTTTTTTTTTTTTAGAAAGTAAAGGT